CTCTTCCTTCTTTTCTCGGCTTGACGCCAATCAGAAATACCAACTATAGTTAGATCTCCATCTGATCTCTCCAACGGAGTCGAGGTTTTCCTCTGTGAAAACGTACACAACTAGAGTGTTCTATCTATTCGAACCACATTACCACGCCAAGGTAACCGCTGTCTCTTCTCGCTGAACTATTCAATTTCGCCGAATATCTTGTAGAGCTCATCGTTCCTTTTTCACAAAGCTCCCAAGTCCAAAGTAACGTCGATAAATGAAGTTATCTACGACTTCGATGACTGCCAACAATGACGGGGAGTAGAGTCGCGAATGCGATGACTGTTTGTCTGATGACAGGAGATATTTCGTCTTGTCTTTGTTCAATAACAGGCCTTTGTGCTTCGATTCCTTATTCAGTCTGGAAGAAGCAAAACTCACGGCAAGGTTGTCAATATCGTCGATAAGGTCCTTTCCGATCCTGATGAAACCTCTGGTGTTCAGATATAGCGGCGTAGGGGCAGCTTTTTTCGAGCTGTCGAAGGTTGCTTTAAATATATCTAGTTTATTGATGGTGAACTTTAATCTTTCACACAATATCTTGTAAAGGTGCTAATGCATGCATCTTATCAATTTTTCGCTTTCGTGATGGAACTGGGTTCGGCATCTACTGTTATTCAACAGGCTGGAGAAGTGCTGTCTCTGTGAGTTCAGATCACCTTTCTGTGTCCTACAAGAGTTCGCTTTGGTTTTGAAACCTTCTGTAAATCTGCACATCTTTTCGCAGAATTTTCGAGTATTACCCTTGTCGGCCAACTTATATAGCTCCTCATACTCACGCATCTCAGCTTTTTCTTTTTTTTATCAGTATCCATGCCACCCCGTTCGTGTAGTGGTCGCTCGTAACGTTGTGATATGGGCAGCCTCTTTTCCTGTTTTCTTTCCACTGCGGCACGGCAATCCCCACCGTGCCAGCTGCTCAGAGAGAAGGAGTGTAACCGTATCCTAGATACTACATCAACTGGCTGTTCATTCTTTACTCTCTCACCTACATACGTTATACGTTTACATTTTTTCAAAATCGGTCAATCGAAATTCAAAAGGCTTGAAGATCTCGACTTTGGTTATACCTAATGACTATACCGCTGTCGTGGAGAGCGCACAGTCGCTTACTCGTATGTGCAAGTACATCACGTAAGAGTTTGTATAAACTCAGTTGAAACTAAGCAGCTGTGATAATTTCACAGAAAATTGATGTGTCTGCTGCAGTTGGCAACTTTTCATACTTTCTGGTGTAAACTACAGTTGGCTTTAAAGAACTCATCTGTCACTCGTTTCGCACTTGACACTGCCGGTGCTTTAGTGCAGCCTTTGACCAAATCTCATTGAGTCATGCATGCCCATGCGCAGCACTTGAGCTGACACTTCTGGCAGTTGACATAATCGTTTCTTGTGTAAGTAATTTACCCACTTACTTTGATGACTTCTTGCTCTAATGGCTGCCGTTTTCCTATCGTTTAACATTGCCTATGTCGAGATCGCTTGTCTGATGTGCATTCCGTGTGAAGTGTAGTAGACAAGTAGGAAAGAAAGTGCTTGAGCAAACTGTGGGACCCTCTATATAGACAACAGTTTGTGTGACTTGGGGGTAGCTATATACCTATGTACATACAAAATACAACAGTAGTTATAGCACAAAATGCTTATGTAAGAAGTCAGGTCATATAATTAAATTCAGATTCAGGAGGAATGTCAATCCGATTTAATACAGGCACAATAAAATGCATCCGCGTATACTTGTATGTACCCTCATATGGTGGAATGTGACACCCTTTAGTTAAGTGTAGCAATTATGAACTGTTTGGAAAATGGCATCCTTAGCATTTGCCAACGTTAATACGCTGCTGTCCTATGAAAATTCTATTTGTCAGATCTCGGTTAGAAATATATCAGTATGATACTAAATAGTTAAAAAAGATCTAAAAATTACTACTTCAGTTATTATCATATATATACATATATATTAATAACTTAGAGCTTCTTATGAAAGAGACTGTTATTATCATGACACTACTCGAGGAGTTGACATTACCTGCCGAGTGCATTTAGGGAAACCTTTTTCCATTAGCTTTTGGTAAAGCTATGAGTGTTTAAGGGTGTTTGATTTTGGTAAGTGACCGCCGCGGCTGGTTCGAACAAATTCCCGCTGGGAGATCCAACTTTTGACTACTTTTGGTAGAAATTGGAGCCGTATCACAGCAATAACGTGCCGAATATTCTGTTATCTTTTATCTGCGTACGCTACGCAACATGACGCTAACCGCGCCATTATTTCGGTGATAAATTTGCATGATTTTCAAAAGTTGTTCTATAGGAAATGGAGCTGAAAAAAACCAGCTCCGGAAAAAGTATTTCCTCATTGGAAACTACGGGTCTAAAAAGCACATTTTGTATATATTTATTTTAAAATTCATTCCTTAATCTTATCTTTCCAAAAATGAAGAAGTCAAACTAATGGAATCGAATAAAATTACACTGGTCAACAAAATTTAAACTTGTTTGTCACAAGAACACTTATATAAAATTTTGAACGTATTAAGGCCACTAAACAATAATACGTCAATGAAAAAATATGTAGTTCATTTATTAATTCTTTATGAGTTTCTAATTTATGGTCTCCAAGAAATTTCGGAACAACTCTCACAAAACATTGCCAAGAATCCGTTGTTGGAATCTTTCTGTTGGATTTGGACGCAGGCAGGTCGTCATTATGCAGGATGGGTCTTTGGCCGAAGACAAGTTTGTATAGTTTGTGTGTTTGGTCGTTGTGCTTGAGTCAAATAAAAATTGCAAATGTCTGTATTGCTGTTTAGCCCAATCTAAAATAAGACTTCCAGCCTACTTATCATTTATATGGGACCCAATGTATGTAGTTCTAGATGCAAATAACAGAAACTGTCTGGGGTGTTGTAACACTTTAGTGGCATATCTACGAAGTAACTAACGTAAATATGACGTAAGTTAATGGAATTCAATAGTTATATAGACGCCTAAATGAAGTTATTAGAACAAAGAAACGTATTTGAAGTCAGAAACGTCGGTAAGGGGGTGTCACAAACTTACTGGATGTGATTGAAAAATAGGGTACATTTACAAAAACAAAAATTATCAAAAGTTTAGTACCAGTAAATACATACAAACAAACTAAAATTAAGTCGCCCCTCGGCAGGGAATGTCCACCCCTCCAAGTGTATTTCGGACATGAAATAAAGCTCCTCATAAAAAACAATCATCCGGTCGGAGGCGGCTTAGTATAAACTGTAGAACCCTTCATTTGTTGGGAAAACATCAAGTCGCAAAACCACAAATTGGAGGAGGAGCTCACCCGAAAAAATCGCATCAGCGATTACAAAGCGCCAATTATATATACATGCATACACACCAACGTCATTATTATAATTTTCTCTTATTTTCACTAGCAAACTGCTACATGACCTGTCTTATATTAAATTTTCCAGCTGTAGACGAGTTCTGCAGAAACGGTAAATTTCCTTAGTAGTTCGTTGACGCTGCATGAGAACTCACTGAGCTTGTGTACATCCGGCATGCAACCTCACCATTCTCAAGTGAGCAAAGCAGGAAACTCATTTTTGAATTTATTTAGTTGCAAGCGAAGCATTTCGTGGATGCGGCAATTTCTATTCTGCCACCATTGACAGCAGGGTGTTTAACGACAGTGAAAATGTGACTGGATGTCTGCACTTTTTCCTGAAATCTTCTACGACGTTGGGGAAGAGAAAATTTTAGCAACGAACATGGAATAATCGAAATTGAATGCAAATTAAAATAATTGCGTAAAAATGTGCGACACTGTAAATACTAAAGTTGAAAAAGAAATCGAAAATACTCATGATATTAAAAAAATAAAAATAATCACTTAACCAACCTACCAATTTTTTTTTTACTTTATATATTACTGAGAATGCAGAAAACTATAAATTTTTACAGCTTATTTATACATTTTCCGGCGGAATCGTAATGAAATATAGAGGATTTTCTTTTAGACGTGTGGTTTTCAACGGTGCAATATTTTCTTCGGAGTTGACTTTTTTTGACAGCTGTAAAGTAAGAGCAGATTTATACCCAGTTTGGTTTGCCATTTGAGAATGAATAGACTTCCTCCGGAACAACGCGACGCATCGCTTTGCTGTGAAGCAGAGTATCGAAGAAGGGCCGAATGAGTTCATCCGCCCTCATGCGCGACAATTGGAGCTGCGTCCGTCCACCTTGTGGAAGATTTTGCGAAAGGACTTTGATTTGCGGGCCTACAAAATCCAACTTGTGAAGCTGAGCGACCGTCAAGCGTGTCGCACATTCGGCAAATGAACACAAAAGCCACCGATCCCGATTTTCTGAGAAAAAAATCGTTTGAATGGGTATGTTAAAAAACAAACCGTCGCATTTGGAGGGATGATAATCCAAAAGCCATTTTGAGACGCGTTTATATCCTTAAATTGTCACTGTTTGATGTGCAAAAATAAAACTTGCCGTAATGTGACTATATAATCCATGTTTAATGGAGGATGTTGATGTGGGCGACCTTCGGTTGTTACAAGATAGCGCTGCATTCCATACCCCCAACCCACTGAACGAAGCTCTTGGTGAGCGCATTATTTCTCTTCGTGGACTTGTAACATGGCTTCCAAGGTCGCACGATTGAACATCGCAAGACCATTTTTTGTGGAGTTATGTGAAGTTGCTTGTCTGCGCAGATAAGCTCGAGATAATTGACGCCTTGAAATAGAATATTAGGCAGAAAAAAGTGATAGGAAATTGGGCCTCTCGGCTAGAGGAGGCTTGCTCGAAATCTTTTTTAAAACATAATGGCAAACCCTTTTCTGTATAATAAAACCGAATTTTGGGCCTTTACATCTAATTATATGCGTTTAATTTCTTCTTGAAAATGTCTATTTTGAAAAATTGAAATATTTTAAGCGAATTTATCTTTTTTTTCTTTTCAGATAATGTTTATGCTTTGACCCAAACTGTAAGCAACGTAAGTTAATATGTTTGACATCGGTAAGAAATATATTTCAGGTCCCTTAAATGCCTTTGTTTTACTTCACATAAGGCAAACGTTTTGGTGTCTGCCCCCCGGTTGCAAGTTGAATTAGTTGTTCTTAACTCCCACATGCGTAAATACTATAAAAATACGGACATATATTCATAAAAGTCTGTGCCAGAAAACTACACTCTCTACTATATATAACATTTGTTTGGCAGGAGGGCCCATTGGTTTCCCCCAGGTTGTTGACTTGGCAATTTTTTAATTTTTTTTTTTTTGGCTTAAACTTATGTATAAATGTATATGGTATATGTATGTTCATTCATTATTATGCATGTACATTTGTTTTGATTTTGCAAGGCATTCGCATTGCGGTTACACTCATTCATTACAGCAAAGAGCAGCAACAAGGCCCAAGAAATGGAATGATGAGCCAAAAGTGGCACTTCCGCTTTGTGTTTTACTGCATGGCGTTGGGCCCATTTTACAGCCCCAAATGGAAAAGTTGAACGCTTGTGGCGAGCGTTCATTTCCTCAGTCTGGCTGTACATACTTCCAACTGGGCCACTTTATATATTGTACATACATATGTACACACTTACATACATAAATACGTACTGAGACTCTCTTGGGGCTTTCCTTCTTTTGGTTACATTTATGCATATTTTAGTTTATATCGTTTTAAATTAATTAAGGCATACGCATAAATTAAGAAACGCGTATACGCAGCTGTTTTTATGTCTAAATGAGCTATTGTAATGAAGTAAGCGAACATATTCAATTGATGTCGCTTGAACGTTAACGTCCACGGAGGTCGCTGCAAAAAATACCATACCCCAGTTTTAAATATATATGTAAGTACATATACATTTCCAGCCTACATAGTATGTACGATGTGTAAAGTCTGCAGCTGAAAAGGCAGCAGTGCGCGTCACAATGCGGTGGGCACTGAGTTCATATCTTGGCCAGGCCAAAAGAAATTCCTCAGTGCAGATGGCCTTCGGCAAGGAATGGCAAAGTATATTTCTGGCATGAAATAAAAATATCATCATGAAAATCCATCAGACGTTAGGAGGCAGGCCATTCGGAACTCGATTGAAAATCGTTTCAGCGGGTTTGAATCGCCAATCGTATATGGATAGTCTGTTGGCGCTATTTGCTTTTCTATATACAACTGAAAGGCATTTCCTGATATTAAAAATTCTATGACATTTGAGTAAAGAGTTGTTTCAGCGGTTTTAGAACGATCTTGCTGGCTCAGTAAAACATCCCGAAGAACGATTTTCATTCTATATACTACTTGTTAACTAGAATCCAACTAGTTCATCTTCCAGCTGTTTCCCATATTAGCAACTGGTATTTCTAACACGGTCAACTGTCCGACTTTCATACTAGGTAAATAACATGTGATGCAGTCGCAAGAAAATTGAAAGACCAAATCTTGCCGTTAACCAAACAACAACAAGAAAAGGAGAAAATGCTTGAGAAAATAGTGCGAGCTGCAGAGCAATCTCCAGTAAGAGTGATATTGATATGATTGGCGTTTACAACCGTGGCTGAGGTCTGCTTCCTCCAGACTGGCAAACGAAGCGAAGGGTATGGGTATAGTAGTCAAAGAGGACATGCAATCGAAGATACAGTCATAACGTTCAAATCGTTGATAATTTCGTCTATCTTGGAATCAGTCTTATCACCTACACTATTGTAAGCCTGGAATTCAAACGCAGAATCTCTCTTGTTAACTAATGGGGTTTTGGACTGAGTGGGGAATTGAATAGTAAAGTCCTCTCTAGACGAACAAAGACCAAACTCTACAAGTAATCATTTTGGTCCTGCTATATGGTTAGGATCAATCCGAATCAAGAGACAGCGGCTAGGTCACGTGGTCTAAATGGATGAGAAGACTCCAGCCTTGAAAGTTTTCGGTGCAGTACCTGCCGTTGGAAGTAAAGGAATAGCAGCACTTTTACTTTGCCGGTAAGATCAGGATGGATGGAAGTGATTAACGAGAAAAGTAGTAACTGGTGAATTGCTATACAAATCTGTTCTGGTATTTAACTAGTATTTTCGCAAAGTACTCTGCCTCTAATATGCACCAATACAAATTTGTCTGTGTGTGCTAAAGTGACTTTTATTTCTGCTTCTTCATTTTTGTTTTCTGCATCTGAGCAAAGTTTGTTGACTTTTTCATAGCAGAGCCCTCTTTGGCAGGGCAGAGTAGAGCCCTCACTGGCGGGACGACATTGTGGCAGTTAGTAAAATCGTAATTTCGGTGCGGTAGCCCCACATGCTCGGATACCTCCCCGACCACACATACCTAACTGACCAGCATATTTATCACACTATCCATGTACATACATACAAGCCTATAAACGAAGTTGTATACACTTGTTTGCCTTCCATTGCACTGCATTGCACATAGCTGTACATACTTATAATGATTATAGATGTATTGTATGTATATGCGTACACTATTTTGATATGTAAATTCCCCCATTTGCTTTTCATTTTGCAACTCTTTGTTAACTGTTAATTTATTTTCATTATGACTTCATTTATTTATTTATTATGTTTTTCGTTGCCATTTGCATTTAGCATTTTTAATTAATGTTTGAAGAATGAAGTCAGACCTCATCCACGTATGTATATACTGACATACAAACATACATAAGTGAAGAATGCATAAATTGCAACAGTGGTTCTTGCTTTTTTCATATTTTTGCTAATTTATGCCATAATAATGCCTGCAATTGAATATGACATCATAGTCAAACGAGGTCCGATCGACGAAATTGAAACGTTGTGCCATAAGGAGAAATAAATAAATGACACATTTTACATTGGGCGCTGCCTAAGATCGCATACTTTTAATGCAAGGGACTTGACCCTTATGTGCATCATAGTCAGTTCAGCGGCGTGCTCTAGCAAGTGCCCGCTTTAAACGATCTTCTATTATTTTTCTACTCTACTACAACTATTCGGCCATTTTGAGCTTTATTCAGAGTTCCTTTACTATAAATCTTTATATATTCTTTTGACGCTTCAAAATGGAAAAGTTATATTGATAATTTTTCAAAATTTATTCAAATATCTAAACAGCTGCAGAGCTGAAAACAAAATACAACCTTTATTGAAACATTCAATTTGTCAAAATATCAGAGAAAACACTTTCAAATGTTTAGACGAACGAAGCCAAACATCCAGTCCCCACTTACACGGGTTCCTTCTCAATTGCTTAAATTCATTCAAAATTGACCACTTATCTGTGGAGAAGGTGAGACTACAAAAATAAACGGATTACGTTGAATCTCTAGGAAATGAGATATCAGATCTGCCGTTTTCATTTGCAGTTTGATTTGGATTCCAATTTACTAAATGAAAGTACCAGTCGATCTGTTCATGCTCTACGATACTAAATTGTAGTCCAATGACACGTTTGATGATTAGTTGCATGGGACCTAGTAAAACGAATTCTAAACTCATAGTTTAGTTGTATTCGAAACATCTTCAACTCATATAATTTTCGCAGATTACCTTAAATCTCTTTCTACTTAAGCCACTTGAATTTCTTTCGCGTATTGATTGTATTCTTTTTAATTTTTTTCTCACATGCACGGACGTAAGTTTCTGTTTAAAAATGTATGTATGAAAAAGTGTAACCGAGCATGTCGAAATACATATTAATGTGCTATTAAACAATGTAAATTGTAGGGGCTTTTTGTATGAATACGCATATAAATAGGTATATCCTTGTAACTATCACATTTTTGCTTCTAAAATCTCAATTACAAGAGGTCTTCTACTTGTTACACTTTTCATAGCTATCTGTTTTAATGGTATTTCTATTTTAGGAATATGTCACAGAAGGTACTCGAAGTAGCCGAGGGGTTAGTGGTGCGTGCTGCCATGCCCAAGGCCGTCGAACCTTGACTAGGCCAACATCAAAAATTACAGAAACCATATGTAAATTAGAAAGATGAGCTGATTATTCTTTACACCTTTCATGGCCATATCAAATTTATGGTAATTCTGTTTCCGGCCATATGATAACGGTTACCTATAGTGAACAGATCTGGCTCCGACAAATGATCGTTTAAATGTACCAACGTATATGTGTATCAAGTTTAGTTGAAATATCTCAAAACTTGAGGGACTCAATCAACTCAATTCATGATTCTGACCAGATTGGAATAAATTTTGATGGGATTCTTCTCCTTCTGGTACTTTCTTTCATATTTCAGACCAAAAGGTATACAAATGAACTTTTCTAATTGCGGTCGTAACTCGGCAGGAAATGTCAATCTCTTCGAGTGTATTTCTAAAACGAAATAAATGCTTCTCATAAAAAACCCTCAGCTGTTTGGAGGCAGTTTAGTATAAACTGCTGGTCCCTCCATTTGATGGGAACACATCATGGCGTAAGTGGAGCTCGGCCGAAAATCGCTCGAGCAATTACATGACGTCAATTATATGCTTACTAATACATACGTATCTGATGCACTCACCACTTCAAATAGTGGTTCATTCTTACTAATACCTTGATTAGCTCTTTAAGTGAGGACTCTTCAAATTTTTATAAGAGAAGAAAGCGCAGAGGCATAGTCTACACGTGGAAGCATTTTCATTTTATAAATTTTAATTTAAACAATTTCCAGATTTATAAAAACTTGAACATAAGAGCTAACCTATAAATTATCAACATCTGAAGATTTAGTTCTAAAGGATTGACATACGTAGCATAGCCAGAAAGAAAGTTTTGTTGGTTTCACTAAATTGTATCTAAACAAAAAAATTAAATACAATAGATGGCGGCTTTCAGTATTTTTTATTCTAATTTGTATTACATGGAACAATAAAAAAAACAAATTCAGCACCTTCAAAGTAAAAATATAAGGTTTTTTTCTATATTTTTTTTATCTTCTTCGCTGCTGAAAGTCTTCACGAAAATGTCAATGTGTCTATATTCATTCACATTCAAATTAAACTCGAAA